AGATGAATTCAAGAAAATTGCTGATCTCCTACCTATAGCAGAAGCTCAGTTAAGTGAGAAGTGGGTATACATTGTTGATTCTGGTGGTCAACCAGCATACCAAGAGCTATTGCCTGTATTTACTAGAGCAGCTACTCTTAATGTCATTACACTTAATATTTCAAAAGGCATTGATGAGGAGTTTGAGTTTATGTATCGAATTAATGGACAAGAATTTAAATGTGACGAGAAAATGAAATACTCAAATCGCAAAATTTTCAATTTTGTTGTTTCATCAGCATCAGCTCAAAAACCAATTGATATCCCATTTGTGAAACATCAGCCTAAACATTCAATGTCTTTTGTCCTGGGTACTCATTATGATGTACTGATTGAAAGAACTAACAAAAAAGATGCTGAAACAAAAGTGGTGGAGATGAGTGAAAAATTAATGTCTCCAACAAATATATTGCCTCATTTAGAATGTCGTATTATTTCTAAAGCATATGGAAATTCTGTCATACATCCAGTTGATACACTACAAGAAGATTCAGTTGAAAGGACAAAAAATAGTAGAAAAATTCTAGAGACAATGTCAAAATGTACAGAGGTTACCATGGAAATAGAAGTCCCAATGCGTTGCTTTGTGTTTGAGCTCTACTTGGAAGAAAAGACAAAAAACAAAGGTTTTGTTACTAAAGATGAAGTTATTCAAAGTTGTAAGGAAGATCTTTACATGTCTGAACATGACGTTGAAATAGCTCTAAAATTTCTTCACAATAGCACAATTATTTTATATTACCCTGAAATTGAACCACAACTAGTATTTGTTAACCCTCAGAAAATCCTTGATGTTCTTTCCCATTTGTTAGCTCTCACCTATGTTGATTATCCAACAGCACAATCACTGGCAACAGATGTAACCGAATCTGAGATGAAGCGTCTTAAAAAGGCAGGCCTTTTTGAGCAAGTTCTTCTTGAAAAGTTTAAAAAAGTATTTTTAGATGACTTTACACCAGACTACTTCATTAATCTGCTTCAACATCTTCATATTATTAGTAAATTAAAAAGCCAGGTCCTGGTTAGAGATAGTTACTTCCTTCCTTCTGCTTTACCTGCCTACAATAATAACTATGATATTACTAATGTAACTACAAAGCCACTTTATTATGTGTGGCTAGAACAGGAAGATGAATGGGAATCAAAAAATGCTGTCCTTGCCCCTCAAGGAATTTTTATCTTATTTTATGTCCATTTGCTTGAACAGAAGGAATACAAGGTAGAGTTTACTCGACATCCAAAGTATCGCAATGCCTTGTCTCTTTGGATCTACATTGAAGGAAAGCGTTGCACACTTTACATCATCAATTGCTATGAACATATTAAAGTCTATTTTGATGGTCCTAAGAGGTATTGTCCACAAGTTCGTGAGCTGATCACCACAACTATTAATAAAAGTTCTGATGCCATCAGTGCTAAACGAAATCATGTAAATGCATTTCCTTGCCCAAATAAGGAAGAGCAGTGCTATTGTATTGTAGATGAAGAGTATCAGGTAGCAAATTGCCTATTGTGTGATTCAAGTGATATCAGTGAAAAAGATGAGATGTGCTGGTGCTGGTTTGGTCTTGAATCTGACTCTGGCTTAGCAGGTAAATTATATAAGAGTTTAATAATAATTATATAATTACAGATATAAAGAAAGATATTTTATTGAACACAACACATTTACATGATGTACGAATGTTGCTTAAAGAGGGTAAATTTTCAAATGCTGAATGGTTTGACTTTGGTCTTGGTTTGGGTTTATATTATGACACACTAAAAAGCATTGAGAAGGATTATCCAAGAGATACTAAAGGGTGTGTTAGAGAGTGTTCTGGTGAAATGGTTCGAGAAAGCTGATGAT